TCATTTCTTTCCTCAAAGTCTGCCAGAGAGTTAGCACCCTTGGACTTTTCTTCTCTCAGAGAAGAACAGTATAATGTGCCTTTTACACTTCAAGAACTGGAGGCAACACACTCAGCTTGTCGATCATCGGCAGCTGGGCCCGACGACATTCATATTCGTATGCTACAACATTTACATCAGTCAGCCCTTGCAGTCCTATTACGCCTTTACAATCTTATTTGGTCACAAGGAGTTCTTCCACAGCTGTGGAAATCCGCCATTGTTCTCCCTTTCCGCAAACCAGGCACTACGGGACATGAAACCTCCCACTATCGTCCCATTGCTCTTACCAGTGCAGTTTGCAAAGTAATGGAACGCCTAGTAAATAGACGTTTAGTGTGGTATTTAGAGACACACAACAGTCTCTCCACTCGTCAATATGGCTTTCGTAAGGGACGTTCTACCATAGACCCCTTACTACGCTTGGATATGTATGTTCGTAATGCCTTTGCGAATAACCACTCAGTTATTGCCATATTTTTTGACCTTGAGAAGGCATATGACACAACTTGGAGGTATAATATTTTAGCCCAAGCCCACTCCTTAGGCCTTCGAGGCAATCTACCATCCTTCCTTAAGAACTTTTTAACTGACAGGCATTTCCGTGTTCGGGTTAATAATGTGCTCTCCCCGGACTTTATCCAAGCTGAAGGTGTCCCCCAGGGATGTGTTCTGAGCACACTTTTTCTCCTTGCTATTAATGATTTGGCTTCTAGTCTTCCATCAAATATTTGGTCATCACTATGTTGATGACTTCGCTATTGCCTGTGCAGGCGCTGACTGTCACCTCATTACAGTTTCTCTCCAACATGCAGTCGACCATGTTTCCAATTGGGCCACCACACGTCGGTTTAAATTTTCCAGCACTAAAACCCACCAAATTACTTTCACTAGACGCTCTGTCATCTCTGATCATCCTTTGTACCTCTATGGCTCCCGTATCCCTGAACGTGGTACAGTCAAGTTTCTGGGCCTCCTCTTTGATCGTAGGTTATCCTGGAAACCTCACATTACCTCTCTGAAGGCAACTTGTCACAGCCGGCTGAACCTTCTTAAAACCCTTGCTCATCTTTCATGGGGAGCTGATCGTCGAACCCTCCTTCGCCTACATTCCACCCTTATTTTATCGAAACTAGATTATGGTGACCAGATCTATTCAGCGGCATCTCCTGCTACTCCCTCTAGCCTTAACCCCATTCATCACCAAGGATTACGTTTATGCCTTGGTGCTTTTCGCTCTTCCCCTGTCGAGAGCCTCTATGCAGAAGCAAACGTTCCATCCTTATCCGATCGCCGTGATGCCCATTGCCTGCGCTACTATGTACGCTCTCATGATCTCCGCAATCCTTCCATTTATAGAATGGTCACGGATATTAGTAGACATTCTTTATTTGTTCGCCGCCCCTGTTTACTCCGTCCCTTCTCTCTTCGCCTTCATTCGCTCTTGTCTTCTCTTCAACTACCACATTTCTATGTACATGTAGCATCTCACTTTTCCCTACCCCCCTGGGAAGTTCCAGCTGTTCGAGTCTGTTCTTTCTCCCTCCCTTGCTCGAAAGCCCAACTGTCTACGGTCGCTTCCCGCTCTCTTTTTCTTGACCACTTTCACTCTCATTCTCATGCCATTGCTGTGTACACAGATGGCTCTAAGTCTTCTGACGGAGTAGGATTCGCAGCAGTGTTTCCGGACAGCGTCATACAAGGGCATTTACTATCTTCAGCTAGTATTTTTACTGCTGAATTATATGCCATTCTTACAGCACTTATCCGTATTGCATCTATGCCTGTGTCATTTGTGGTTGTCTCAGACTCCCTTAGTGCTTTACAGGCTATACAAAAATTTGATACACCTCACCCCTTAGTCCTCCGTATCCAACTTTGGCTACGCCGCATCTTTACCAAGCATAAAGATATTGTTTTTTGTTGGGTCCCTGGTCATGTTGACGTACAGGGCAATGAACAGGCAGACACTGCTGCGCGGTCAGCAGTACATGACCTACCAGTTTCTTATAGAGGTATTCCATTTACGGACTATTTTGCTGCAATATCTTCCCACCTTCACACACCCGTTGGCAACAACGTTGGTCTACTATGCTCGGCAACAAACTTCAATCTATTAAACCGAGTTATAGGTTACTGGCCGTCTTCTTATCACCAGTGTCGAGGTTGGGAGACTACTCTCTCCCGTCTTCGCATTGGCCATACTCGTCTTACTCATGGATATCTCATGGAGAGGCGTTTGCTCCTCTCTGTGAGAATTGCCAAGCTCCATTATCAGTCAGCCACATTTTTTTGGACTGCCCACTTTATCAACGAGCACGCAGAATTTACCTCTGTCGTCGTCTTCGCTCCGCTGCTCTCTCTTTACCTTCCCTTCTCGCTGATGGACCCACCTTTCATCCGGACACTCTCATTGACTTTTTGACAACAACTGACTTACTTCACAAATTCTGATACCTTCAGCCCTTTCTACTTCAATCTCTTGCTACCCTCTACCCCCGTACTATCCCCTGCCCCGCTGTTTTCTGTAACCTGCTGATCATCCCTCCTCCCTTCTGCCATCCAATACCCTCGCTTCCTTCCCTACCCTGCAGCGCTGTATAGCCCTTGTGGCTTAGCGCTTCTTTTTTATTATAATAGTAATAATAATGTAAAAAAAAATGCTTGAATGTATGTTGCTGAACCACCAACTTCACATTTGACTGAGTATTTTTTCAGAATTCATACCTTACTGAAGGCTACAGTTTGTCACCCTTATTGAAGATATTACAGAATTTCCTATTAAAGTACATGTTTCAAGAACATTCCTTCTATAACTGGAAATTTCTTCTATATTTCACACATCATGAGCTTCCTCTTCCTACATGTAGGTTATTTGTGAAATGTTCCAGCCATAGTGCTGTCTTTTATTCGTCTATATTTGCCTAGCAATTACTTCTCAATTCTCTTCATAAAGGTTTATATAGCTCTAAGTAAAATATAATGCAAGATACAGTTCTGTATGCTGTAACCGTCGTACAAGGGCATTTACTATCTTCGGCTAGTATTTTTACTGCTGAATTGTATGCCATCCTTACAGCACTTATCCGTATTGCATCTATGCCTGTGTCATCATTTGTGGTTGTCTCAGACTCCCTTAGTGCTTTACAGGCTATACAGAAATTTGATACACCTCACCCCTTAGTCCTCCGTATCCAACTTTGGCTACGCCGCATCTTTACCAAGCATAAAGATATTGTTTTTTGTTGGGTCCCTGGTCATGTTGACGTACAGGGCAATGAACAGGCAGACACTGCTGCGCGGTCAGCAGTACATGACCTACCAGTTTCATGTAGAGGTATTCCATTTACGGACTATTTTGCTGCAATATCTTCCCAACTTCACACCCGTTGGCAACAACGTTGGTCTACTATGCTCGGCAACAAACTTCAATCTATTAAACCGAGTATAGGTTACTGGCCGTCTTCTTATCACCAGTGTCGAGGTTGGGAGACTACTCTCTCCCGTCTTCGCATTGGCCATACTTGTCTTACTCATGGATATCTCATGGAGAGGCGCCCTGCTCCTCTCTGTGAGAATTGCCAAGTTCCATTATCAGTCAGCCACATTCTGTTGGACTGCCCACTTTATCAACGAGCACGCAGAATTTACTTCCGTCGTCGACTTCGCTCTGCTGCTCTCTCTTTACCTTCCCTTCTTGCTGATGGACCCACCTTTCATCCAGACTCTCTTATTGACTTTTTGACAACAACTGACTTACTTCACAAATTCTGATACCTTCAGCCCTTTCTACTTCAATCTCTTGCTACCCCCTACCCCCGTACTATCCCCTGCCCCGCTGTTTTCTGTAACCTACTGATCATCCCTCCTCCCTTCTGCCATCCAATACCCTCGCTTCCTTCCCTACCCTGCAGCGCTGTATAGCCCTTGTGGCTTAGCGCTTCTTTTTGATTATAATAATAATGTATGCTGGAACAATTAGGGTAAGGCAAATTAAATCATGATCCCAAGTTTAATGAAAAATATAACTACCAATAAATGACTATAGAAGCCTGTGGTAAAACTGGTAAATATGCTTTGTCAGAAGTCCTGGATTGCTCATACATCACAGGACAGAATGACTTAAGCCATTGTCCAAAATGATCTCAACACATTAGATTATTCTAATATTATAACTGACCTACCATCATACCCTTATCCCAAGAAACATATTACCTGGAAATCTCTTCTAAAACCTCATCTAAACCTGTTAGATGTTAAAAGCCCCCATGCACCCAAAACCTCTTAACACCTCCTTCCACCCTAGATTTTTAAATCCTCTTAGCCATTCAATCCTGCTTGATCCTCTCAAAAATGTCCAACCCACCTCAGGCCTGTGAATTAACCTTTGGTAACCCCACATCTTCTAATTCCCATGCTCCAAACTCTCTGAACATTCACCCCCAACATTGCTCTCAAACTGAGATCTACATTAACTCTAACCACCTCCTCACTGCAATGCTTAAAGTCTATGCCTTACATTCATATAGTGTTGGTAATACCATGCTATGGTACATTACCTGTTTTACCACAAGCTATTCACAGATGCCTCAACACACTGCCTACCTTTCATTTCCCCTTCGTCTATTCCACAGGGTACCTCGTCTTTCACAGACTCATCTGCCAACATGTCTACCCCCAAAAATCTGAATATATTCACTTTCCCCATACTTCCTCCCTCTTAATCTAATATTCATTCACTGCCTACACTTTTTGTTACTTTCATCACCTTGCTATTTGCTACATCCACTTTTAATTTCCTTACTTTATATTTTCCCAAATTTTTGTTACTTTCATCACCTTGCTATTTGCTACATCCACTTTTAATTTCCTTACTTTATATTTTCCCAAATTTCTGTTACTTTCATCACCTTGCTATTTGCTACATCCACTTTTAAATTTTCCCTTACTTTATATTTTCCCAAATTTTTGTTACTTTCATCACCTTGCTATTTGCTACATCCACTTTTAATTTCCTTACTTTATATTTTCCCAAATTTCTGTTACTTTCATCACCTTGCTATTTGCTACATCCACTTTTAATTTCCTTACTTTATATTTTCCCAAATTCCTCCAACTACTGCACTCTTCAGAATCTCTCAAAAGAAATGTCATGCAAAGAGTAACTGTGACAACTCCCACTTTGTGTCAGATTCATTATCTTTTAATTGCACAACTCCCCAATATCCTAGCATTTGCTTTCTGTACAATCCTATCAATAAAAATGTTAGGTTACCATAGTGACATCACACAATCCTGCTTTAGCTATAGCCTACTTTTAATGGGAAACAGTCCCTACCCTTTCTACTGCATATCCTAACCTGAGCCTCCCATCCACATAACAATTGCATGTAGTAACCTAGCACCTATACCATACACTGGCAACATCTGCCACATTGCTCCCCAATCATCCTATCATTTTTTTTTTTTTTTTTTAGAAGTTGGCCATCTCCCACCGAGGCAGGGTGACCCAAAAAAGAAAGAAAATCCCCAAAAAGAAAATACTTTCATCATTCAACACTTTCACCTCACTCACACAATCACTGTTTTTGCAGAGGTGCTCAGAACACAACAGCTTAGAAGCATATACCTATAAAGATACACAACATATCCTTCCAAACTGCCAATATCCCAAACCCCTCGTTTAAGAGTGCAGGCATTGTACTTCCCATTTCCTAAATCCACATCAAAGATTAGTATCCTTTCGTATACTGTACTGAAATGTCAGCTGATTACATAAAATATTTGTTTATATTTGAGAACTTAAAATTTGAATGTAAACTAAGCATCTATGGTTAATGTATATATCAGTCCTACAGTTTAATGGAAATTTACATAAAATATAAGTAAATTTATTTCCCTAGAAATTTTAGATATTCTTCTACATTAGTAGTTTTTTTTATACGGATGAGCAACTAGTTATGCAATGCATCTCTGGTACAAGCATTATTCACTGGTACTCATTTTTCAGTTTACTTCAATGGTTCTCACTCACTGAGTGAAAGCAATTAGGTCATCTGAAGGAGTTAGGTCCTCAGATGTAGCATTGACCATCCCCTAGGATGTGACCCACAACAGTCGACTAACACCCAGGTACCTACTTACTGCCAGGTGAACAGAGGCAACGAGTGTAAGGAGACTTGCCTATATGTCTCTTCCTGCTTGGGATATGAAAACGGGACCAATCTGTCAAGTCAGTTGTGTTAACCACTGCGCTACAGGTTACCCATCCCCCTGATTAAAAACTTAAAATTTCTTAACAATGAATATCTCATGGTAGAATACTGTATGTGAATGCTATGGTTACTATAACTAACACTTAAAAATATTGTCATCTACATAAACAAAAGAAACTGAAGACTTACCCAGAGGCAAGGAGATGTGATCACACATACCCAGCAACTGGCCAAAACACAAAACTCTGTCAAGGGGATGGATTCCAAATTCAGACATCTTGTTGACAGTGTACCGAACAGTGTCTTCATTGTGGGATGCTATCATGATGGCAATCTGGTGAAAAACATTTTCTTGTCAAATGTAATAATAGTACAGTATACTGTACTGTTGCAGCGCTGTATAGCCCTTGTGGCTTAGCGCTTCTTTTTGATTATAATAATAATACTGTACTGTTTCGGTTCGACAGTCCACCTAGAGAATTTTATTTTTTCCACTTATTATTGAGACTTATTATGATCTCGCCCAATCTGTGAGCAAAAGTTTATTAAATAATACACACACACATGTAATGTATCAAACATCCTGTCTTTTTAACCTGCATGCAAAACCCTGTTCTAGTTTTTTAACTAACCTCTGCATCTTCTGACTTTGCTCTACTCATGACCACTATTGCTAAAAACTTAAAACTATTGTAATACATGGTTGATTATAAGTTCTGCTCCACATAGTATATTATGGCATACTAATATTATTACTATATTTATGAAACCATGAACTGTTGTACCTATAGCTCTGACCCAAAATGTTTATACTATAGACTTTACAGACAGAACCACAATCAAATTTTAATTCCCTACAAATCTTTATACTGTATTATTATAAATTTAAAAATTTAGATTTTCTTAACACTGCCATTTCCTATCAGGGTAACACCTTACCCTGATAGCTGTTTTGCCAGAAGGGCATGGATATCCTGCCCTCCTTCCTCTCCAGCCCACCAATCTGCATCAAAGATATGCAGTCAAATATTACTGAGAATGTAAGCTATATTTTGTCTCATTCACAAATTTAAGAATGTTATTACCTCATCATGACTGAATTACGGTAGCTAAAATAGTTACCTTTTGTGTTTCTCCTATCGATTTGTTGAATTTAATTCGTCGAAGGCACTCATTAAGACATTCGTGGTACATCTCTGTAGTGGCTTCAAAGGTAGGATTAATTGGGTCTTCATAACCAAGTGCAACAGCACGGGCACGTTCCTGGAAATTATGTATAGTACAGTATGTTCAACTTCCGTGACCTGTAGATGGGATAGCTCTATCAGTTATGATAGGTGCATAATTATTTCCAGTATGATGATGAAAGTATTTTCTTTTTGGGGATTTTCTTTCTTTTTTGGGTCACCCTGCCTCAGTGGGAGACAGCCGACTTGTTGAAAAAAAAAAAAATATGTATTAAATGGCATGCAACTTGAGTATGAGAAATCATAGTCTGTGGCATGTTCGGGTGCTGTTGTTATGAAGAATAAAAAGGCAAAAATAATTCACAAATTACCCAAACTTATGGGAGGAACCATATGAGGACATTTTAATTCATCCTGGATTAACATCAAGTCACAAATTAGGCAAGAGTGACAGAAGCTGGCTCGGGAGGAAGAAGTAATGGGAGTGGTAGAATTTACAGTAATAGTAGCATCAATGATCATAGTAGTAATGCAGTAATATAGTAGTAATGGTAGTATGTACTAGTGGTAAAGTAATAGCAGTATTAGTAGCACATAAGAACGAGCAGAAGAGCACTACAGGAGATTTACTGAGCCATGCTAGGCAGAATGTGTGACATAGCAATTTAGTAAACTATATCTCAAGGCAAAGATAAAAAATGTCTCAACACTGACACCTGTCCCCAAGGGTGGTAGAGAACTGCAGTGGGACTACTGGCCCAAGCAAGGAAACAAAAAGCAAGCCAGAGAGAGAGAAGTCAGGGAACAGGAAAAACAAAGGAAATATAGAAGACAGGTCAGATCAAGTACTGTATACAGTAAGTATTCTGAAGATTAGAGCATTTGGTTTTGTATTGAAAAAATTCAGGGCTCTACAGAAACAAAGCCAGAATAAAGATTCTTGTTAAGAATGTTTTGTATTAGAGCTGATTTGACAAGATGGAATCTGTGGGTAGAAGGGAAGAAAGGTTTAGCAGAGGACCAGTTAATAATGCTGTATCTGTGAAGGATAGAAAAGTAAATAATTTTATCAAAGGATCAGTTAGCAGGATTAGCTCGTCCTCTTCTAAAACTATCTTCCCAGTCTTCTATAAAGTGAATTATTATCAATGTACCTATTTGCAGTCAGAGGAGAAGAGCTATGCTTGTGGCATAGCATCTTAGTGTTAAAGATAGTATATAACCTTTTTTTAATTTCTAGTAATTATAGAACTTAAGTGTGACAGTACCTTCCCTTTCATTCCATTATTTCTACCACTGTGAAGAAAAATTTCACAATACTGTATTCTTTTGACAGAGTTGTTCCTTAGTACACTACAGTGATTTCTTGTTCTCCCTTGTCATGAGAATAAGAGGCCACAGTGGTACACCAAGGAAATAAATAAAAGTGGTGCTGTGTGACAGCTGAGGCTGTTGACAATTTTCTACAGCCAGCAAATGCCGAGAAACAGAGTAAATCATGATTAAATGTGTGTTATTGACCTCTGGTTTGTAAGATCATTTGAATCCCAGGGTGTGTGCACCAAGACTGTAATAAAGACTAATATAGTAGCACTGTAGTAGGTAATGTTTATAATAATGTTAATACAATTAATGTTTGATTACAACACCTTTAAAAACTCCTAATATCTTCCCATTATTTATGCTCCAACTATCACATAGGACTACTACCCTGTTGCTGAAGAGATGAAAATTATAATTATCAGTAGATGGATTTTGTTTTATTTCTGGATTTAATCTTGCTAGTGTAGCTAGGAAATACTATGTTGGATAAAAAAATTAAAATTACTAATGGATATTATATATTACTTGCATTCATAGCATAATAGTAAATAAAATCCACAGTACTCCATATATATTTATTATTATAAATATAATTATATATATATATATATATTATATATATATATATATATATATATATATATATATATATATATATATATATATATATATATATATATATATATATATATATATATATATATATATATATATATATATATATATATATTTGCAGGCCACTGAAGACCATGGACTCCCCGCAGTTAACATGTTGCTTAGTACAGTACTTTATATGCTTCTTAAGGCATATGGGTAAATGTGCATTCAGTTGGTGATCATATAACTTATAGTTTAACTACCTAAAGAAAACAAAGGTGTTTAATTTATACAAACCTGTTCCATATATGCCCCTCGCACAAGTTTGGCGCCAAAATAAAATTTTTGACGATAAGACTGTTCAAGGTCAAGGGAAAGGTTGTTGAAGGTTTCCTTAAGATAGCATTGATAGGTATTGAAAACTATGGCTTTTTCCTGGTTGTATTTTTTCATCATTTCTAAAGTGAGACGGGAAATGGCAGGCTGGAAATAAGTTTGTTCTGCATCCACCATCACCCGTACATCACATTCTCTGGCATACTGAAAGTGAGAATAAGAATGTTATTAATCAAAATCATAATACTAATAAAACAGTAGTCTTCTCAGTATGTAATATACTGTCATTAATTTTCTCTACTTTCAAAATATACACAACTGCAATGGCTAAAAACATAAGCAGGAATTTTTGTTGGGAAGTTTTGAGATTTGAAGAATGCTTTGACCTTATAGGTCACTCAAGAGCTCTTGGTACTAAAATTAAATACAGCCTGAAAATTCAGGACAGTCTAGTAGAATATGAGGAACATCTCACATAGTTACCACAAAGGTGTTGACAGGTGTGAATGACCAATGGAAAGATGGGCCATATTATTATTATTATTATAATAAAAAAGGAAGTGCTAAGCCACAAGGGCTATACAGCAGATGGGCCATAATCACCTCAATGGTGGCATGATGTTTTAAATTTCCCCTTGATTATAATGATGATAATTTAAAAATAGGAACTCTTGACTTTAAGCCTAATGCCATATAAAGCTTGCCACTGTGCTTGCCATTTGGCAGCATCACTGAATGGTAGCAGAGGGACAGACTGTCAACATCTCGTGTGACATGTTTTGCCTCACTTGTACACTTGCTGCACGGAATGCTAACATGCCCAGGAACCAGCAATGTCTGATGTTAAATGGATCAACATTAAAGAAAGTGTCGAATTTCATGGAGATTATGTGGGTCTAAAAGTTGACAGCACCAATGAAGAGCACTAGGAATCAGTTAATACCCTGGGCAGGAGATGTAGACTGACAGCTTTTCTTTGTTGGCTGATAAATGTTCCGTGAAATGTTGAAGGGACTTCATATAAGTAATTTGGCTAAGTACCCAAAAAATTCCAAACAATAAATTAGAGATAAACAGTCAAGGGCCAGCAAAATTAAGCACATGTATTGATGCCAAACTAGATTTGTGAGAACTCTGCTTACTTACTGGGAACCACACATGTTGCATGAAGCAAACATATGTGAGATAATGTATCTAGTTGCTAAGGATAGCAACCAAAACTACTGACAAAATAATCTTAAATGTGCCTCAGCCTCAGTGCTTCTGAAAGGTGAAGTAGCATGAATAAAAAATCACTTCATCTTTACACAAGTGACTGCTACCTTAATGACGCTTGCAATCAGTAGGCTTAAAGCCTAGCCATAAGAGTTGTATAATACCAACGAGTTGCAAAACACAACAGCGGAATGAACATTTATTAAAATTATGTTTTACATAGAGACTAAGCATTTTGAAGTCAAAACGTTTGGGCTTGCATGAATCATTGTCAATAGACTTCAGAAAGCTTGATCTCCAAGCAAAATGTACTAAATAAACTGTCCAATCAACTTTTTTGTGCCTGTTTTGCAGGCTTTAAGCCTAACACATCAAATGCTAAATAGTTTCACTGCCATTAGAACTTGCTATATTTTCTGTACTAAAGAAAGGAAAATACAAAAAAAAAAATACTATAATTATAAGCATTCAAAAATTAAGAATCAATCTAAACTATAACAATTCTAAACTTGCCTGGAAAATGGTATGCAGCCGACGCATCATATTTTTAAACATTTCTTCTTCCTCCCTTGTCAGTGCTGAGATAATGGGTTCCATGTGGCCAGAGTTAAGACTGGGCACATGAAACAGATCACTTAAAAGGATGTTAGCATCAATCAATCCCGACCAGGAGAAAAGATGAATTAAACCCTTCTTGTCGTAGGTCATGCTGTCTAACCACTTTCTTACTGCAGGATTATCTGTCAGAATGTTTTCTTCCCGAAACCGTTTTTCAAACACGTCTGTTTTTATATCTGAGAACAAGATGGGGCCAGATTCTCCCGTTACTTGGGTAAAATACTGCCGGGCTCGAGCTATGACTTCTGAAAGCTGCATCTGTAAATACATTAAAATTGAATTTTATTTAAAAAAAACAAAAAATGTACAAAGAGCACAATGTACTAATCACCAAAATGGGCAGATAAAAAAATGCAATTATATATGTACATATGTCACCTATGTGTAGTGCAAGTTGCATAGCATAAAAAACAAACATACCAAGGGTGTGGTTTGAACCCGCGGTCAGTATCAAAACTCCCGACCGAGGGTTCAAACCCCACCCGTGGTATGGTTTGTTTGCAATCGTGTCATTACGACTTCGTGAGTCATCTTGCACAGCATAGTTTGTGTGGGGGGACGTTTCTTTCACAAAGGTCACGTGCATGTGTGTGCATACATGCTTACATTTTTATGGTAGCAGAAGTCAAGTCTCAGCTCCTAGCCCTGCCTCTTAATAAACCCGCTGCCTGAATATATTTGTGGAAAATACTGTATATATTTTCCAGAAATTCAGTATTTATATGTATATAGATGGCCATACTGTATTTAATAACATTTATGTCATAAAAAATGGGAAACTGAGCCTGGGGAGAAGGGACAGTCTCCATTGTTAATTTGAATTGGATACAATGTTAGTGTAATGGGAAGGAATTTTCGTGCTCTAGAGGTTAAAATTGGGCTGACACCTCTCAAATAGGAGGTGAAATTGTTGGATGTGCATTCCTGCATAACCTGAGATATCAGACGACTGGACAAGACAGCTCCAGGAACCTCAGATAAGTCTTATGTAGTAACCTGGTCAGTGTTATTTTCATAGACGGTGAGGTTTTCTGAGTATGATACAAGTTAATCTCTAGTTAGATTGGTGAGTGATATTAAGATATTTTCCTTCTGTTATGTATATGTGTTTATATATAATCATTTTTTAATTTAATATACAGTCCACAAAATTTATATATTTACCAGTATTCCTGGTTATACATATTTCATTGGTAATTAATAGGTCCAGAGCGACTTGTGGATATGACAGTGGTAGGTATCGAAGGGTGTGGAAATTTATTTGGTCCCTAAAGTTCCACAGGACAGATCCAGCATGGCCGTAATGGGACGGCTGAGCTGGCTGGCCCTTAAACCCTCCCAAACAAACAGCATTCTCTCTATTTTGGCGTGGATTGTTGGTAGGCATTTATTTAATTTATAGATTTACCCTTCAGGGAAGGAGTAGGTAGTTTTACTGTTAGTACACTAATATTAGGTTTTACTAAGGCAACTGTAGATAATAATAATGTAGACCTAAGACCTTAACATAAGTAGTAATAGGCCGATAATGTAGGCAAACACTAGGTTAAGTTAGCTAGGGAGAACTGGCAGCCCTAGCTTGAATGACGAGGCGCGGGTCTCAAAGACACAATAGCGTCCTTCTTAAGACAGACACCAACTGAACAAGACGTGCCGTGATCAGCAGACGGCGCCCCCCACGTGTCTTCACATTTGAGACCTGGGGAAATCTGGTAGAGGCACCTCGATGTACCGTAGATGACGACCTCTGTCAGGCCAATACAGTAAGACAAGACCTCCACTATATCTCGTAGATTTCTGGCCAGTGTCTGGGGAGATTGTGAGCGAGTTTTCTCTGTGGGGCCAGTGTGCAACAGGCAGAGCATGCCCAGTAAGTACCAGTGTCTCTTGGCAGTCTGGAAGCTAGTGTCCGTGTCTGCATAGTTATACTAGGCCCGGTGGCCTGGTGGCTAAAGCTCCCGCTTCACACACGGAGGGCCCGGGTTCGATTCCCGGCGGGTGGAAACATTTCGACACGTTTCCTTACACCTGTTGTCCTGTTCACTTAGCAGCAAATAGGTACCTGGGTGTTAGTCGACTGGTGTGGGTCGCATCCTGGGGGACAAGATTAAGGACCCCAATGGAAATAAGTTAGACAGTCCTCGATGACGCACTGACTTTCTTGGGTTATCCTGGGTGGCTAACCCTCCGGGGTTAAAAATCCAAACGAAATCTTATCTTATCTTATCTTGGATATAGGAATTTCTGAGGTGCAGGCAGGACACTAATAACAATTGAATATTGCAGGAATTAAGGCTCCCGGTTGCACGTGGTTTCTGAGGGGAAGTCCAAAGGGGCTAAGGCTAAGCTTAGGGAAGTTGAAGATCAGGATATATGCTGCAACACCAAGTTAGTCAGTCCTTTATACATGCATGCAGGCGAGTTTTCTTGCAACATCAATCATTTGTGAAAATCTGTCCTATAAGCCACTTGTGAGGCTGAGGTACCCACCTCAGAGCTCGGTGTCAACAGAGTTTGCCAGGGTAGGTGACTCACTTGGAGGCAGTCCACACAAATTTTCACAAAGGGGGACATTTTTGCGACCTAGGTGTCCCAAATTCCTACTTGTCTAACTGATAAATAATTAGCTATGTTCATTTATTGTTATGTACATAATGATACATTCAGATAAATGCAATTTTCCACAATATTTACTCAGACCATAACCACAGCACCAAGAGGACTTGGGGGCTTTGGCCCCCTTAAAAAAAACTCCCTCAAAACTGCCAAATAAAAACAGTACTGCTGTAATGTTTGTTGCTTCAGATTGTTATTATTATAATAATCAAGGGGGAAGCGCTAAACCCGGAGGATTATACAGCGCCTGGGGGGGGATGTGGAAAGGCATTCAGACTTAATTCGGGGAACTGGAGCACAGATCCAATTCCCTAAATCAAGAGCCCCTCACCAACATCAAGGAACCTTCCTTGAGGGGTGTTGCTTCAGAACAAATCTCCTAGCCCTTTTCCAACCAGATAGTCACCCCCGTAAGCCCATCCCCCAACAGACAGAAATCCTGGTGTCGCTGCTGGCCTAAACCATACATGGTCCAACGAACTTGTAGTCCAAACAATCCCAAAGTCCATACAACTCACAGGACACACCACCCAGTGAAATAGATCGAGTTAGTTAGCAAGCCTACGTAAAATAATCCCCCTGACATTCTTGCTTACCTCCGACGTTGCCAGTGACGGCCCCACCTTTAACACAGTCTCCCTCTTTGACTTTCTTCTTTAAATAAAAATAAAATAATATCTTTATTTAATACAAGTACATGTGCATGGTATACAGGCCTAGCTAACATCAATGACATACTACTATATAGCAAGCCCCTTGTTATGCTGAGCATTTCGAGTAAATTAGGTCAGTTTTGTCCCACACCAGCCGACTAACACCCAGGTACCCATTTTTAAACTGATGGGTGAACATGGACAGCTGGTGTCTCATGGAAACACGTCCCTAATGTTTTCCAGCCGTACCGGAGGAGATTCGAACTCCGGATCTCAGTGTGAGAGCTGAATGCGCTAGCGATCGAGCACTCACCACCCTTACAACCTCTACCCTGCAGCGCTGTACGACCCCTGTGGTTTAACGCTTAGTTTAGATTATAATAATAATAGTAATAATGACATTCTTGCTAGCATTACTCATATCAAGACGCTCAGTAGCATAAGCAGCAACACGAACATTCCTGACAATCATAATCGACAAGCAAAACCTATTTTCTGTGCTAATTATGTATGTCAATACTCAATAGCCTATCTCGACAACACTAAAGCAGTATACACACTTTCAGACTGATATTGGTGTTGATACTGCTGTACATTATTACTGAAGGATTTCTCTAGTATTCTAGTATCCATAGCCTTAGTGCTGGTGAAAGACATTTGATCCAAGGAAACGGAACTACTCTCACCATCCTATGATTAAATCTGATCTTATAATTATAACTCACAGAATGAAAGTCCTGAATAAAGCAATTACGAGTCAATCTAGTTCATGAGATATGGATTAATGTATTCATCGCTCTAAGTGACCTTGGAATGTTCCTTGATGCTCGTGAGGGGCTCTTCATATAAAGAATGGGACGTGTTCACCCCTTGAATCGAACCTAAATGCCTCCTATTTCCCTAGATGCTATATGACCCCTAAGGGTTTAGTGCTCCTCAATGAATGTGGTGATAATTAATCTAACCGACCTCCTCCCTGACATTCCCACATTTATTACACTATCTTATTTTTGTTTTAATGGAAACTAACCTACTGCACCAATTTTGACTCTCACTCCTACCCACTGCTGTACGACCAATATAGGTTTGGCACTTTCTAGCCATAGTATAATAATTTGACCTACACTCCCCTACCTTGGTGACCCTTACGGGTTTAGCGCTAGGTAATGATTATAATAATCCCCTACCCTGGATTGAACCCGAAAGCTTCCTATTTTCCTCGGGGGCTGTATGACCTGTGCAGGTAAGAATAATTTAGCTGATGTATAACAAACACCAAGCTGAGAGAGTACGTGTGACTTAAGAAATCGTAATGACACGATTGCAAATAAACCATACCCCCGGCCGGGATTGAACCCGCGGTCATAGAGTCTCAAAACTCCAGCCCGTCGCGTTAGGGCTGGAGTTTTGAGACTATGACCGCGGGTTCAATCCCGGCCGGGGGTATGGTTTAGAGTACGTGTGTGTGTGTTACTCACCAGGAGCTGAGGACGACCAAGGGCAGTCATCTTTATGGCAGCGAAGCCAGTGCCATGTGTCGCATCTGAAACACAAGAATAACTGCATGACCATGTGCCGTATCTGAAACAAAAATAATTGCATGACCATGTGTCGCAACTAAAACAAGAATAACTGCATGACCATGTGTACTGCCCATGAGTATGACAACTGGGACTAAGAGCATGCCAGAACAAAATCTTCCCAATGGGTGAAGAACCCATCACCCCTCCCCCCCCCAACAATCATAATAATAATAAATCTGCATTTACAGCTATGCATCTTTCTCTCTTCTATAGGAAACCTCCAATCAGCACAGTGTACCTGAAGGGTGTTGTAAGGGGCAACGCCCCCGCGATCCGATCCATGACCAGGCCTCCCGGTGGATTAGGGTGTAATCAACTAGGCTGTTACTACTGACCTCAATCAGTCTAATGTATGATTCATAGCTCTGCTGATGACTATGGAGCTCACAATTGTGCCCTTTTCCCACACTGCTAAACTGTGACTTCCCTGTGTGTGAGTTACCATTTGGTCCTAGGCACATGTCGATTAGACACTAGGCCTGTTGTATGTGCATGCGTGTGCATGCGTGTGTGTGTGTGTGTGTGTGTGTGTGTGTGTGTGTGTGTGTGTGTGTGTGTGTGTGTGTGTGTGTGTGTGTGTGTGTGTGTGTGTGTGTGTGTGTTGTTGTGTGTTGTGTGTGTTGTGTGTGTTGTGTGTGTTGTGTGTAGTGTGTAGTGTGTGTGTGTGTGTATGTACTCACCTAATTGTGGTTGCAGGGGTCGAGACTCAGCTCCTGGCCCCGCCTCTTCACTGATCGCTACTGGGTCCTCTCTCTCTCTGCTTCCTGAACTTTGTCATACCTCTGTATGTGTGTGTGTGTGTGTGTGTGTGTGTGTGTGTGTGTGTGTGTGTGTGTGTGTGTGTGTGTGTGTGTGTGTGTTTGTGTGTGTGTGTTTATGTGTGGTGTGTTATGTGTTGTGTGTGTGTTTATGTGTGTGTGTGTGTGTGTGTATGAATTTGTATATGTGTGTGTGTGTGTGTGTCTCAACAATCAATTATTTGCACCAATAACTCAATACAGTTGTGACCGGGTGTGGAAGTGTGAATTGCTCATTACACTATAATTTGTTCATGATTGTAGCCATGTATAAACGTAAGTAACCATTCTTACAGGATTCATTACCTTTGTAACTTGTGAGTTCATTACCTTGTACCTAGTTCAGCCATCACAACTTTGGGAGCCCAGTCCCTGGACCCATTACGTACCTCTGTAATCTGTAAATACCTTTGTAACTTGTCATGATTGTGACTAGACCTACCTGGAGTTCATTACCTTTGTAAATTGTGAGTTCATTACCTTTGTAAATTGTGAATTCATTACCTCTGTAACTTGCTCAGCTATCAAAACTTTGGAGTCCAGTCCCTGGACCAATTATGTACCTCTGTAATCTTTTGACTACCGCCCACAGGATGGGTATGGGGTGCATAATAAACATATTAAACTAAACTAACTGCAAGACTGGAGGGCGCGCAGTGGAACAAAAATATACGCAGTATCGGTTGTGTGAACTGGGCATGGAAGTGTGCATGTGTTTCACCCATGTCTTCCCCATGACTAACTTATAAGGGGAATTTTTTCTTTAAAGGTTTCATTGTGTGTACACCTTTTTGCCATCGCAAATGAAAGAAGCATGAAAGAAGCATGCCAGCAAGTTGATTAGTAACAGACAGGCGTTTTAAGTGGTTGTTTAAAGAATCAATAGTAACAGACAGGTGCTTTCAGTGGTTGTTTAAAGAGTAAAAAGTCTTAAATTAGATGCATTTTAGTTGCTGGCGATCCGAGAAAGGTAAGCCCCCATATCCTTTACCTCAATCCATACAAGAAGCACAGTAGTTAAACCACTGAAACCTCAAAGAGGCAGAGCAGCAGCAGCTAAACTTCCTAAAGAAACCTTTTAGTTTAAGTTAGTTTAATATCTTTATTATGCATCCCATACCCATCCTGTGGGCGGTAGTCAAAGGATTACAGAGGTACATAATGGGTCCAGGGACTGGGCCGCAAAGTTTTGATAGTTGAACAAGGTACAGAGGTAATGGTTACAATCATGAACAAATTGTAAATGGGCAATGAGACCTAGGAGCTAACTACAGCGCAATCCTCCAACGAGGTCCAGGAGGTGGCGATAACACCTTGACCCAAGAATTAAGGTAATCTTTCCGTTCCTTTGATCTAATCTGATTGTATACAAGTCCTCCAGGCGTTGTATGACCCCACTACTTAAGACTGGCAACTGTTGATAAAACCTTAAAGAAAGGTTCAAGAGCTGTAAATCAACACACCCTTAAGAGGGCTAAGAACTGTAATAATCCGAATCCTCCTCAAGTAGAATAAATGATCGTTGAGTTTGAAGCTGATCAGCAGTCATTCTCAAGTTATCACACGGAAACCAACAAACAATTTCCCAAACATGACAAACCGGAACTTGCATTGCCCACCAACAATGCGAATCTTCCTTTGAGAGAAAATAAATGCACTAGCAATGAAAGCTTGAAGCCAATCAGACAAAGCAGTCTAACTTTATCGCATGTAAACCACTGCCCTATGTGCATGAACACTGTCAAACTGACACTTACACTACAAAAAAAAAGTCGGGGATCAGTAATCTTTTGACTACCGCCCACATGATGGGTTTGGGTGCTTAATGGAATTAAACTAGGCATGACGCAGCCCAATAACAATCTAACCTTCTAATAGCAATTCCTACTTTCTTCCAAATAGAGTACACTGGAACAGAATTCATAACGAGCGCTAAACCCGTAGGGGTCATATAGCTCCTGGGGGGGTTCCCCCAGGCGCCGCTATATGACTCTTGTGAGATTAGCACTTAGTTTTGATGATAATAATAATCAACCAAGCGCTGTAGGAGGCACTCAGGTGTAATCCAAGGGAAGCAAAGATCCAATTCCTTGGATCAAAAGCCTTCAGTGGCTTCAAGGAACCTCCTTTGAGGGGTTGAAATTTAGGTGATCATGCTATAGTCAGAAAGCAAAATTAGAAAAAAGGTCTATTTAACAATGACATGAGAGCACCGCACATGAAAATGGTTGCATGAATATTTTCGAATTATAGAACACCAGCGCTGAAAGAAATTTTTGGAGAAATTAATCAGATAATCATTATAAGGTACCCCGAACAATACTGAGTTTATGGGCGATTTTTTCATGCAAATTTTCCATTATTAAGTGGGTTGTGTAATTGTGACACTTATACTTTGAGATATAGGGAAAAAATTATTTGTAACCCATCAAAAAACGGAACCCAACCTAACCTAGAATTTAACTATTAAGTTTGGGCGAGTTATGTTGCTTTCTGAGGGTTACCAAATAACGGGCTTCCCAATGGCACAAAATACATGTGTTTTAAATGCGAAATTCACTTGATATTGGAGAATTTACATAACCCACCAATAAAAAAATGTAGCCATAAACTTTATATAGACCAGTACTCCATCGGAGGTATCTAAATATATTTCAGTGAGTTGTCATGGCATTTAATGATGTGCTTTAAAGAGGTCAGAGACCAGCTGCAATGACAAGTATGTTTAAAGTTGCATAATAATAATATAATCAGATTAAGTGCTAAACCTGAAAGGGACAGAGCGCTGCAAGTAAGGATGTGCGAAATGATCAATGTGCAAGAGTGATGAGGGAGTGAAGGGCAGGATTGTGAAAGGGAAGGGATTAGTGGGGGGGTAGGGGAGAATGCAAGAGAAAAACTAAAATCACAGTTGGTGCAATAAGTTAATTTCTTTTAAAAAGTCAGACAGTAAGTCTTTAGAATTGCATAAGTAATGGGTTAAGTGTCAAGGAAACAGTGGCCTTGGGTGATGCAACACATGGGATGGGGCGAGCGTGATCCAAGAGCTCTGGCCTAGTCGCACCGACTGCCAGCTGTTCTTTTGTATCTGATGAGACATGATCTTATCCCTGGAGATAAGCGCGGGCATGACTACCCTTTGCCTACATTGCATCAAAATTGTATGGAAGTATTTTTAGACAAAAAAAAAAAAAAGTCTTGGAGAAAAGGTAAAGACAAATGTGTTTTAAAACATGGACATGTTTAATCCGAAAAGGCTTGATTCAGATATTTGACATTTTCAGATCTATTTGTATTACAAAGAACCCTCAAGGAAGGTTCTTTGACATCGGTGAGGGCTTCTGATCCAAGGAATTGAACCCGCCCTTCCCTTCATTGGATCGCACCTGACTGCCTCCGATTCCACAAATGTTGCACAAGCCCTACGGGTTTAGCGTATACCCAAATGAACAACAATAATAAATTCAATAACCCAATAGTTCATTATATTTTGATGTACTGTACATAACTATTCTGCTTGTCTTCATCTCCATATTACACATTTCCAGGACACGAATAAAAACGAGCTTACTGGCTCGTGTTAGGAAGGTCAAATCCACACTCGACATTCGTCCAACCTTTATTTAATTAAAGCTGCATAATTTCTTAGCTTCGATAACGCTAAATGGGAGTTTATCCCACTTGTCTACAACTCTACTGAAAGAATAACTATAAAGTTTACTTTGCCTCCTTGACTTGTCCTTCCACAAGATGGACTGAAGGTTTTCTCAATAAAATGCCATAACCCTCATATTTTGACTTAAATATAATGCCTTATTAACATGAACACTGGATTCACTGAGTCATCCTTCACTATAATAACCATCCATGGCCAATCTCCATAACATTTTTTCTTAAAGCTTTATTCCTAGATTTACTTTTCAGTGACAATGAGATACTATTAATACCGCCCCAAACCTACACTATCGACAATAGAAAAAAAATAATTTCTGACTACTGTACTAACATACACCATGTCCAAAGGAATGGACACTTTCACTCAGTATATTTCAGTACTTAAATTAATATTATTGTACAGGTGAATTGCATTCTTAATGACCATGTGCAATACACGGGCATTAAATTTAATAAGAATAAGAACGAGAGCCGAAATGGTGTTGGAGAGAGGAGGGCAATTAGCGTAGGATTCATTTTCAGATTTCAAGATCATATACAGGTCATTCGAGGTACAGATAGTGTTATAAGCGTGGGTTACATACTCGAGTCAGGAAAGTTTAATTTATGGAAATGTAGGATGTGAATGTTGAAATCTTCATAGGTAAGCCGTAGGTATGGGGATTGACTGGCAGCGGTGAGGACCCATGCATGCACTAATAATAACAGTAATAATAATAATATTTATTTCTACAAGTACATGTACAAGGAATACAGGCCTAGCTGACATCAATGACATACTACTATATAGAAAGCCCTTTGTTATGCAGAGTATATCGGGCAAATTAGGTCAATTTTGTCCCAGGATGCGACCCACACCAGTCGACTAACACTCAGGTACCTATTTACTGATAGGTGAACACAGACAGTAGGTGTCTTAAGGAAATGCGTCCTCATGTTTCCAACCGTACCGGGGATCAACCCCCAGATCTCAGCGTGAATTGAATGCGCTAACAATCGAGATAGGGACCCTCTGCAGGTGTATCTTGACTTTATTGCAGGCATGTGGGAACATACCAAAATTTGGTAATACTGTTCTGGCATACATGTTAAATAAAACACTAGGGATGTTTTGCAGTACTGTAGTGTAATATCAGTGTGCAAGTCTCTGCTGTCATAGTCATAATAGTAGCATTACACAGCCACACATTAACGGTGAAGAGATGCCAAGTGCTCTACAACGTCATTATCTGTTAAGTGACCGTGTCTAAGTTTACCATACCCCCGACCGGGATTGAACCCGCGGTCAAAGAGTCTCAAAACTCCAGCCCGTCGCGTTAGCCACTAGACCAGCTAGCCACAATAAGATTCATCCAACTAGGTATATTTCTACACCATAGGAAGGTTAGCACAGGCACCTCTGTGACCACAAATGCAAGTTTTTACAGACGAATCTCCAGCTAGCGTGGCCGTGACGAACTCTAGCTCAAGTCCCTTCACTGCCGTCAACATGACTCAAGAAATCGTAATGACACGATTGCAAATAAACCATACCCCCGGCCGGGATTGAACCCGCGGTCAAAGAGTCTCAAAACTCCAGCCCGTCGCGTTAGCCACTAGACCAGCTAGCCACAATAAGATTCATCCAACTAGGTATATTTCTACACCATAGGAAGGTTAGCACAGGCACCTCTGTGACCAGTTGGATGAATCTTATTGTGGCTAGCTGCGACGGGCTGGAGTTTTGAGACTCTTTGACCGCGGGTTCAATCCCGGCCGGGGGTATGGTTTATTTGCAATCGTGTCATTACGATTTCTTGAGTCGTGTCTAAGTTTATTAGCTTTACAGCTTATCAACTTGATACAGGGCATACTGCTGCAATTCACCTGTACACAATCAAGAAAATTTTAATTCCTACAAGAGGGATTAAAGTAATCTCAATGTGTTTACCATTTTCTTTTCTGTGATGGACATAATTTATTAATAACAGTTATAAAGCTGCTCTTAATGTATCATTGAATATATCACATGATCGACACCCGCGTAAGCTGATTTCCCATGACGAGTAAATTTAAAAATAAATAAGAATCATCAAGGAAAACGGTTAATTAAAATGAAGAGCGAATAAGAAGACTAACAGATTGTTTGGATTTATTTAAAGAAATACAAGAAACATACGTCCACAGATTATTTTATCCTCCAGTTCCACACATAATAAGCCCTCATTTAAATTATGCGGCAGTTTTTGTCTCCATACTAAAATTGGATATAAAGTAGATAGATGTATTGGGGAACATGCAGAATAGGATGATATTACTACACTGTATAAGAAATCTTTCATACGAAGACGCGAGCCCCGAATTCACCTACACACTTTTGAAAAAGATATTTTATAGACCTCACAATTTTAAACTTCTGCAATGCTCTATAATTAAATTGTGTAGAAATGAACCAAGGATAACCAAATAAATTAACGAGGGGAGATGAAATGAAGTATAAATTAATGAGTTAAGTAGAGTGCTAAGGATATCTAACTAAGAAAGAACTCGAAACAATGGATTCAAGTTAGATAAATTAAAATTTAGAAAAGATACAGGAACAAAATGGAAAAGAGCGTTGAAGAGTGGAACAACCTGCTAAGTAGTGACCTTTGTTAGCTTCAAAAATAGGTTGGACATATATACGAATGAGAAGTATGTCTTGAAAGAGCCTGCCTAGTATAGGCCAGGAACACACAGGTATGGCAACATCGACAAATTGTGGAATGACAAATGCAACATTTAGGGCATTTAACTGCGAGACGTTTCGCCCATCGGTACCTTTTTAATTCAATACGACTCAAAAAAAACTGAACCAAACTAATTTTATGTCCTGTGTACTGAACTTGTGTCTATATTCTATAGTGTGGCCAATAGGCTTATTGCATTGCTCCTGTTTTGTGTTGTTACATATAAAAAAAATGTAAATTTTTAATTTTACGCCAAGCCTAGCAAATTAACCTAACTTTGTTCAAATTCACATAAGAAAACAAATTAATTTACCTAACTTCTTTAAGAATTTGCATACCTTTAGTTAACTGTTCAGATAATTTAGTAAAGTCTTCCTTAATGAAGGGGAGGGGTTATCCCCAGGTGGCTAAATAATTCAGAGCAGCACTCACCAGAGACTGCGTCAATACAGTTGATAAATGTTTCCATATTCTTCTCGCATTGAGCCTCATTGACATAGAAATAGGTCCTGGCGCTGGACACCTGGTAGCGACGATCCGCAAACCTCCGCTGAGGGGTGTATCTCTCCATCTTGTTCGACCCTTCCGCCTTCGACTCACACCCCCTGTGGAGGAAATAAAAACAAATTATCATGTTTAGCAGCGACGTAAATTAAAAAGTTTAATCTTGGACAGCCAAATAAAATCATAATATGGTTTACTTCCATTGGAGTGCTCCTTTGGAATTAGAGCCACAGCAGATTAACAGTTCATATATACTGCTATGCCGAGTTCCACAATTCATAGAACACAAGAACTAGGGTCATACAGCACATTTAACGAAAAGTTGCTAGAAATATTTCACTGTTATCTTTACCAGCTCTCAACGAACTTAACACTTTGCCACAGTTGGTATTGAGAGCAGCAATTGTGTGCTTGACCTGCTGGACTGTGGTTCGTACATTGGACTGCGTGCGGCCAGAAGTTACCAACAGCTGGGTGATCGACCATGGACTTAGGGATACCTGGATACCTGGAGGTTACCTGGAGGTTATTCCGGGGATCAACGCCCCCGCGGCCCGGTCCATGACCAGGCCTCCCGATGGATCAGGGCCTGATCAACTAGGCTGTTACTGCTGGCCGCACGCAGTCCGACGTACGAGCCACAGCCCGGCTGATCCGGCACTGACTTTAGGTATCTGTCCAGCTCTCTCTTGAAGGCAGCCAGGGGTTTATTGGCAATTCCCCTAATGCTTGATGGGAGGCTGTTGAACAGTTTTGGGCCCTGGACACTTATGGTGTTTTCTCTTAGTGTACCAATGGCGCCCCTACTTTTTATTGGCGGCATTTTGCATCGCCTGCCCAGTCTTTTACTTTCGTAGGGAGTGATTTCTGTGTGCAGATTTGGAACCATTCCTTCCAAGATTTTCCAAGTGTAGATTATGATATATCTCTCCCTCCTGCGTTCCAACGAGTACAAGTCAAGTGTTTCCAAGCGTTCCCAGTAGTTAAGGTGCTTGACAGAACTTATACGTGCAGTAAAGGATCTCTGTACACTCTCTAGATCTGCGATTTCACCTGCTTTGTATGGAGATGTTAATGTACAGCAGTATTCCAGCCTAGAGAGAACAAGTGATTTGAAAAGGATTATCATGGGATACCCTATTTATGTTATCCACTGGTACACTGGTACCACGAAACAGGATTACCCTATTTAACTGTTATCCTTAGATGACAAAGATGATACACACCTTTCACCTAACACGTATTTTGTTTTCTTTTATTTTCATTGTAATTCTTTTCCTAGGATGCGGCCCACATCAGTCTATCAACACCCAGGTACCTTTGTTATTGCGAGACCACCCCTTCTAGGGAGTTGAACTGAAGCTGATTCAAGGAATTGGAGCTACCATCCCCTTCCCAAGGCGCTGGACAATCCCTACGGGTTTAGCATTGCTTAATAATAATAATAATAATAATAATAATAATAATAATAATAATAATAATAATAATAATAATAAATGGCAGATTAGCAGAGATAGGTGTAAGCACAATTGCTGACACGTTTCACCGGGTCTGGAAATCGAACCCAGAACCATTCAATTGTGTGCTGAAAGCTCTGATCACATAACCTCAGGAAAGAGCAGCGAGAAGAGATACGGGTGTTCGGTGGAGATGGGAAGTAGAGAAAGAAAGGTAGGAAGGAGGGAAGGAGTGAATTAACGGAGGGAAGGAAGAAGGAAGGGAGGGAGGGAGGGTGGTGGAATAGCAATGATCATAACTCCGCACAATACACCTCCCAGGTCACTCGCCATGCTTGGGCGCACACACACATGCATATCTATATATACTCGTATACAATATGAGGGGAGAATACGCCACCCCGCCCTCACCAGCGTGCCAAGCCACCCCACACTCACGGTGCCAACTTGCACGTAGACAAGCCAGCTTTCCTACCCCAACTCTACTCCCCTTTACCCCTGATGAATTACATAATCTTAAGCGTGCTAGGAAGCGAGCACAAAAAGTTTAAATGAGCTTCCGTGCCGATGAATAACAGAAGTTCAACGTGTCAGGGTAGATAAATTTTCACTTACCCCGCAAAAGATATTGTAAGCTTTTGCTTCCAGGGAAATGGTTGTTGTACCGTTTTGGCGTGTGGAAGCCAGTATGTTCAGGGAAAATGTACATAGCAGAAGACCCCACAGCCCATATCGAGGCTATCTGCTGAGCATTAATTACAGTCTAGCTCCTTGTAATTCTGTCTTGATAGTTGAGATTAGGATAGTGTATCAGAAACCTCTCCACGTCCTCCAGTCTCTCCAGCTATATAGCTAGCTTGAAAATGCAAGTGAGCTATTTGCGTACAAAAACGTGTTTTAATATTTAATAGGAAAGAGGAAAGTAAGAATTATACATATACTTGCTACAGCTACCACTGCTACTGCAACTATTAATAACTGCAGCTACTAATAATACCACTACTACGAATGCTTCCACTAGTGATCCTTGGTCAGTCGGTCATCCTGAAGTAATTTCTGAACTAACGTCAGGATTACACTGATCACAGCCAGACCATACACAATATCTACTTGAATCCGATACTTACAAAACGCTTGTCCAGCCGGTTCTTCAAGGGCTATTTTTTTTGCACTTACGACTTCAAAAACGGTAAATTCTAGTGTTTATAAAACCACAAAAAATCATTAACCAATCATTGTGCTGCGCTTCTTGTCTGGAATTTGCATGACATTTGCTTTGCTTTATTTTATCATTTTCGACTTCAGGCAGTTTTTCGTATCTAAGTTCCTAGTGTCTTAAAAGACAATGAAATCTCAGCTTCTGTTTTAAAAGTAAGAACAATTTAATGCTTTGAGTTTTCATTTGGTTTTGATACAAGCCGAGTTGCCCTTCTATGCTCTCCATTTACCTTGGATTTTGTGTGATTTAGAGACCAAAACTGGATAGCATATGCAAGATGAAATCTAACAAGTGAGTTATTGTCGATACTGATCCTGCCATTTTGTTTCAACAATTTCTAACTACAAGCCCAAGAATTCGGATAGTTTACTGTTCACAGTTTGTATACTGAAGGCCAGTGCTCATAACTTTTCTAACGTCCTTGTCATTTGTCTACTGGTTTATATCCAAAAACCTGGTAACATTATATCCAAAATAATAGTAAACACTGAAACTATCAATTTTCTGATAGGTGCACCGACTAACGTTAGTGTCTCTGAGCAATCTTACATTCAGCTAGGGATGCTATGTTTTATCCAAATTTCGTGCCCTCAGTTAATTTCTCGATTTTAGGTAGTAATCCCTCTTCAAAATTAACTTAAATGTTGAAAATGAGTGAGCCAAAGATCAATCCCTGAAGAACTCTGCTCTTTACTCCCACTCACTCACCTCTCCGTTCAGTAGCACTCGTTATTTCCTGTTGGTGAGTCAGTCTTCACCGAGAGCCTGACGTGTTTCTCCTAAGCCACCATGCACCTATTTTTGGGCAGCAATCTTCACTGTAATACTTTGTCGTATGTAAACTTTCACACCGAACTATGAAATATAAAATAGGTTTAAAAATGTAGGGTTTTTTTTTTACTGTGTCAACGATAACAGTGGTGAACTTTACTGGAGTGTGACAGCTGGTTGAAGTTAACTGATAATGTTACTAAGAGACATGACCACGAGCCAGACTTTTTACCCACCATCCTCCTCTGTTCCCCACGACCCTCCTCTCCTTTCCCCTCGACTACCCCTCTTCTTTCCCCCCCATCTTCACGAACTTACTCGACTCCCTCTTCCATCACAACCTTCGTCCCCACCACGCTTGCTGTTACCCGGTCTCCTCTCACATCCCACACCTTCCCCCACTAACCTGTCACGTATACAATACTTCCCTTCTACACTAAGTCTTGCGACTCTTTTCTGTCTGTTATCACGCTCCCCACCAACACCTCCCCCACACTAATTCTTAGCACGTCCCCAACACCACCTCCCATCCAACCCCTTGTCACGCCTCCAACACTACCCTCAGACACTTCTGTCACGTCCCCAACATTTCCCTTACATACCCCCTTGCACACCTGCCAACAGACCCTCCCCAGAGGAGTGTGTCGGTGCCTAGACTGCATTAAATGCTCGCCCTGGATCAATAGTTGGGTGCCTGGCGCTGCCGGCTCCACCGCCTGCAGTCTCCAAGGTTCATACCGCCACAACACTGTCTTGAAGGCTGCAACAACATTATGAAGGCTGCTACAACATTATGAAGACTGCAACAACATTATGAAGGCTGCAACAACATTATGAAGGCTGCTACAACATTATGAAGGCTGCTACAACATTATGAAGGCTGCTACAACACCATCTTGAAGGCTGCAACAACATTACAAAGGCTGCTACATCATCATGAAACCTACAACACCATTATAAAGGCTACAACACATCACGAAAGCTACACCACTACCAACACAAAGGCTACACCACCATTATGAAGGCTACAACACCACCACTATGAAGGATACAACACCACTATGAAGGCTACAACAAAATGAAAGCTACAACACCAAAATGAAAGCTACAACACCAAAATGAAAGCTACAACACCAAAATGAAAGCTACACCACCATTATGAAGGTTACTACACCACCATTATGAAGGCTACTACACCACCATTATGAAGGCTACAATTATAAAGACAACACAATTATGAAGACTACAACACCACTATTATGAAGGCTACAACGCCATCATCATGAAGGCTACAACGCCATCATCATGAAGGCTACAACGCCATCATCATGAAGGCTACAACGCCATCATCATGAAGGCTACAACGCCATCATCATGAAGGCTACAACGCCATCATCATGAAGGCTACAACGCCATCATCATGAAGGCTACAACGCCATCATCATGAAGGCTACAACGCCATCATCATGAAGGCTACAACGACATCATCATGAAGGCTACAACGACATCATCATGAAGACTGCAACAACACCATGAAGACTGCAATATTATGAAAACTACAACAATATAAAAGTTGAATCATGAAGGCTGCAACACATCACTTCCGCTGGCTACATACGAGTGCCAATAACGATAATTTTACTCGCAATAAATA